CAAACGTGAATAAGGCTAATGCTGATCATCAGAGGTGAGCGTTTTAGCATTGTGTATAACGTGTGGAAAATACCAGGAGAATGAAGAACACACAATATGTCCTTGAAGTAAGCTTGTTCAAAGACATTAAAACAAGAAGGGCGACACATTGAGCTCGGGTCTGTTCATTAGTAACTTTGAAATGTTTGTGTCTTTGATCTCCCATATAGTGGCAAGTGGTAATAACTGAGAATGAATATTGAATGAAAATATAATGGGATTTTGCCATGTAAAACAATCATAAAAGCCTGATAAAACCTTACTGTCACTTGATAATTTAGGACAAGAAATGCCCGGGGGGGGGGGGGGGGAAAAAACCCTACCCGAGGGGGCGGCACATACATATAAAGCCTAAATAAAGGAGAACCCCCCCTGGAAGAAATAAACTTTCACCCATCTAAAAAAATTTATCCAGAGGACCTTTAATATGGTTATTTGAATTAAACCAATTTTTTAAGAAATACTATAACCGGGGGGGGGGGGGGCGCAAAAACCCTACCCGATGGGGCGGCACATACATATATAGCCTATATAAAGGAGTACCCCTCCTGGAAGAAATCAACTTTCACCCATCTAAGAAAATGTATGCAGAGGACCATTAGTATGGTTAATTGAATTGAACCCATTATTTTAGAAATGCTATACTGTTTGGATTGCTTGGTCCATGGCACAAAAAAAAAATACGTGCACAATGACGTTAATTTTCAGTTCTTGATGAATTATCCTCACGCTTGGTCAAATACATATATTCAACATGTGCTCGGTAAAAGGAAGTCGGGTCGCACTAACGTCACACTAACGTATGACAATGAAGATTGTACTATTAGTTCGGAGGACATACTTGCAATCAGCTCAATCAGCGACTACAGAAACTAAGACAAGACTATGACATTTGTCAGCTCAATCAGCGACTACAGAAACTAAGACAAGACTATGACATTTGCGTTGAAAAATCAATTTTAGTGAAATGTTCAATACAAATTTAAGGCTAGGCGCAAAAGAGTATCAGAAGAGAGTGTGACGTCAAAAATATTGTAGGCGATCGAAAAAACTGAATGAGTTCATTTATCATTAATGCAGCGCCTAAACGAACCCCATATAGGGATGTGCTGGTGATTTTAATTTTGTTGTAAGGGAATACCACCCTCTCGAAACTCTACTCAAAGAAATGTTTCATCTCTTCTTTGTTTTAGTTCAGGGTTAACATTTCTTTTGTCGACTAAAGTCATTCAGGCGTAAGCCCAACTTTTCCCAAAGTTGATAGACTGATCTTACGTGAAATATTGTGTCTTACAGTTTTTTGACATGATATGGTTTATTTTGTATTTGAGGGTAATATCCAAAAATAAATCCCCGAGGGCTTATACAGTAAGGAGGGGATAATTATTGTTTTTTCTTTTCTTTTTTTTTTTCTCACGGATTATGAACGGGGGAGTTTCTTTGCGGAATTTTGCGTTTTGTGAAATATTGTGAAGGTGAGCTGTGTTTTTGTTCTGTAGGATCGACCGTTAGAAGCTGAGTGAAAAAAACCGGCGAAAGGGAGATTGCTATGCGGCTATGTATGTTAAAGATTACAGGACTGGACAGGCAAGCCGAGCAATTGAAAAGAATTGCATTAAAAAATTACATTTATTGATCGTTTTTATCCCATCACACCGTCAGGGAAGCAACATACAAACAGTGTTAAACTACGTTTATGATTAAGTTTAATTCTCGAAGGCGGAACTTTAATTTACTTTTAAGCTGCCAGGAAGTTATAATGCAATCACATGAACCAAAGGGCTTGAAACACTGGTCCTGCATGTCTTCGGCTAAATCTGTAATATCGTCAAAAAAATAAAGCATTAGTTTAAAAACCAAAACAAAAACAAACAAGTTCCTTTATTTAGTTCTCAAGTGCCCTTGAAAAGTTTTTCTAAAATGCCAGCCTAAAATGTGATATGACCTGTAACGCAATAATTTCTTCGTGAGGAATAGAAATTGAGTTATTGTTAATCTTTGGAAAACGTACCACTGAAAATGCGAGCAAGTTGACGACGAAGCCTACTTTGAAACGCCGACCTCTCTAAAGGGGGCTGCACTTACCCATGAGCCTTGCTTGCTTGTCTGACTTGGCTTTTCCAATTGCCTTAATAAACTAAAAAAAATAAATAAATAAAGAAGTCAGGCTTAACTTTCAACTTCATGCGTAAGCAGGTCGACATAACTTCCGCTCAACCCCTGAATAATTTAGAAGGGGGCACCTCAAATTCTGACCATACATAATTGTGTGGAATTAAAGACATAAGTATAATTACATACACACATTTTTTCCGCTATTAGGTGCAATTTTTTTAAAATAAATTTCTAGTTTTGATGAATTGTTCCTGAACGAAGAGACCTTTCAAAGCATACCGTGTCCTCTGTAAAACGGGAGACACATGACAGTGCGTTCAATTTTTTTTTCAAGCGTATTGTCTTACAACCTCCTCCCCAGGGTCTTCTCGCTTTCAAATGTGGTGGCGGTAGGAGAAAAGACCCTGGCACTCATAAAATGCATTAATACATGTTTGTTGTCTTTTTTATGGGCTAATGATGCAGCTAGAATGCATTGACGACTCTTTTCTGATACATTTTGTATGTTCAAGTCATGTTCTAAAAAATGGCGCATGCTTCTGGTTTGCAGGGTTTTTTATTTTGTTCATTTACAAATAATTTCTAGTAATAAGTGGTCCACAATTAAAAACCACAAAAGTTTAAGTAATGTTTAAAACACGAACAGCAGTGATTTCGTGGCTTTCCTGGATTCAACGAACAAAATCTCGCAAGACAGCAGTGAGTTATCACTGGTAAAAACTGGTTACGCGGTTGGGAATACTATCATCTCAGTCACAATTTCAAAAACACTGAGCCTACAGGAATTCCACCAAACCTAAATCAGTATTTCAAGTGCTCCAGTTTTGTCGTTTTCATGGTGAAAATATTTCGCTTAGGTTACTGCCGTTTTACTTGCTTAAATAATGGGCATCATGTGCATCAAGTTATTAGCGCAGCTAGAAGCAAATCCCACATGCATCAATCCACTGATAGGTAAGTTCTCATTTCCGAGAAAAGAAAACAGGTTATTTTATGCACAGATATTGCAAACTTCAACACTCCCCGGGCAACTCCTGGGTATTTGACCATCACGTGTGCCTTGGGAGTGGGGAATTTGACCCTTACTTAAGTGGAATGAAGACTTTCAACCAAATGTGTCAAGTTTAACTTTTTCGTATGATGTATGGAGGAGTTTTATGAAACAGCTTTAATTTTTAGTTGAATTCCTTGTTCAGCAAAGACTATGGCCTATATGCAGAAGGTATTGTATGAAAACAAGAGTGATTAATTCTTGTACTTCCATTGCCAATCAACATTAAGTGGATTTTGTCAGTCAGAGTTGCTGCCACGCATAAGTGCTAGGTTTTTAAAAGTAGTTGCTGCTGTCATTGAACAAACAAAGAAATAGATAAGATATAAATTTTAAAAAAATATATATCAAACAATAAAGTCATTCGGAGGTAGCTTTTGCGATGGACTGCTTATTTCAATATATATAGTAAAAATTGAAGGGGACATCCAACAGAGGTTCAAGAAGCTGGATACCGTAAGACTACTGCCTAAAAGCCTGTCTTACTTTCAGACGTCCAAAACATTAACTGTGAGTTAAGCCATACACCGGAATAAGAGCACAACAACTCTTCTTTGGCAGAGGCATTTGATCACTAATAATATTGGCCTAATGTATCAGCTAGAGGACTGCCTGGGGGAGATGTTGAAGTTTTAAATTTATCAGTGCATTAGAGGTATTTTTTTTATTCAAGACAAAAATCTAAAAAAAATCAATATACAACATGCCATTAACTTTTTCAGAGCAGAGGGTGGTTTTTTTTACAGAATTCATAAAAGCCTGTCAGTTGCCCCACACCTCAATAAATTTTGTTCGCTGCATTAGCTGTCAATAACAGGGAGAGAGAGGTGTAACTACTGATGCTAAAAACTAGCCTGAGTAATTTGAAAGTTAGGATTTAAAATATCGACCTACAATCTTGTAGGATGAATCAGAATTATAAGCTGAAATCATGATTAAACTTTGACCTGTGTAACATATACAGTAAGGAGGGGATAAGATTCGCTAAATGGCAGTTTTCTAGACAGCTAAATGAATTAATAACCTGAAGTCTAGGCCTGGACTTTTTCTATGAAACAAATGTTTGGTACCTGATTAAATGTTTTATTTCTAAGCACAGAAACCGGCATGACATATGTCGACATAAGCTGAAGATCACCACGGGAAGCGTGAATAATTGGCCAACTATCTTCAAATATTCTCCTTTTTACTTTGCTGCTGCTTCTAACGATTCTCAGCTTTGCAAACGATTAAAAGGAATCTTATTCACCTTTTAGGCCTCAGAGGATAAAGATAACGGTCCTCTTTTTTCCATGAGGTACCCATCTTTGTTTTTAAAGATATAAACCAATCAGAGTCCATGTATGAAACGCACCAATCAGCGAACGTTTTAGGTTGCTGTGTGCCAGGGTCTTCTCTCCTGCTGGCGCCATATTAGAAAGCGGGAAGACCTTGGGGAGGAGGTTTATTGTCTTAGGCATTTTTTTTTCTTCCCAAGACATATCATTTTACTGAATAGAATACTGAAAACGATAGTGATTAAGATGATAATGATATAATTGACGAAGGTATGTCTTTCAAAATTCTTTGTTTGAAAAATCGTACGCGGTAGCAAAGCGTCAACTACACAATGAAAACTAAAAGATGTCCATACATGTTCATCAAAAAACTTTCAACAGTTAGATTGAGAAGAAATATTATTTTAAAATGGGTAAACATTTCAACCGCTTGTTTTTTCTGTTGTTTGTCAAAACTTAATGCACATAAAGTCACGGTTTGACAAAAAAACAGATTGTTTATTTATTTATTTATTTATTTATTTATGACCTGAATTTCCACAGTAACGCAGATAGCAGGCTGGTGGTTTCTTCAACTCGTAGACAAAGAACCCACCACAATTACGCACACGGATGAAAGTATGCCAGCGGCAGCAATCGCCATGCCAGTGAAAGCAGACAAGGACGGTGCTAATTTTACCAGGGGGAGGATGACATCCTGCAAGCCAACCTGGTGCATGGGTTCCACAGTGGTTAGTTGGAACACAAGAGGTAGGCATCTGGCTTCCTGATCTCCCGGTAAATCTGTACCAAGTAGGCTGTGCACCCAGAGTGGTATCGCATCTGTAAAAAGCTCGGCTGTATCCCTGTGCTCTCGTGTTGTCGTTGAGCAGTTGGTACTTTGTACATTCTAAAAATGAAGTTAAAGAGGCAATTAAATCAAAGGAAATATGTAGATATATATGATATACAATGGCGCGGAAGATATGAATTGTTTATTAAAATGGCCTATGGAACTCACCCCATGATTTGCGCATTTGAAAATATACGTTTTTCTGGGCAGCCCTTAATCCCTGTTTGATCGAAAAACTACTTAATAGTCGATCAATAGGTCAGTTTGCCAGAAAAATTAATCTTTTGAACAATATAAATATAATTGATGATCCTTTACAAAATTAACGAGTTTTCAAGCTCCAGTAGATTACAAACTATTTACACAATGTACTCTGTTAAGTGAAAAGCAAGTGTCTTTAAGATGTAGTTACTTCAGGCTACTAGCTTTAGAGAAACAGTGTATTATTGAAAGGTACCTAAGCAAGTTTTAACGAGACAACTTATTACACTTTCTCTATGAGTTCAAGCTAGGACAGGGCCTTTGTTTCTTATATCAGGATAGGGACAGATACACTTACCTGCGGGTTTATCAACTGCAAGGTAACAAAAAAGATATTAGTTATGAGTAACAAGTTTTTAATCTGAGGGTACGTTATGAAAATGTTCCCTGTCTTTACCCGTGTAGATGGTACTGATAGACTACTAATAGCTATAGCTTTTATTTACCTTTTATTTATGGTAAAATAATAGTTTTCAAATATCCGTGAACAAACTTTATTATGGAAGAAGGAAACCAGGAGAAAGTTATAGAAAACACCAGACGACCCTGACTCTTGCCAATTCTGTCAACGTGGTCGCACCAGATTTCCACATTTGGGGCCTGAGATTCTCGTCATGTGACCGTAAATTAGAGTATAAGGTGGAATGTTATTCAATTTGTTTTAGTAAGATCCGGAGTGCAGTGGTCCTTAAAAAGAGCCTAGTGGGAAACCATTAGTCCGTTTTGAAGATGCTGTGCCTATTACGCAAACTAGGGATCTGTGGAAAAGATGAGATCTAAGCCAGTCCATAATCTTGTAGTTAAAGCCATATAATTTGACTTTTTGCAAACTAATGTCATGGTTAACTGTGTCGAATACCACTTTAATAGCAAGAAAGATAACGCAGTTCCATTAGTCTCACAGATAGTCCAAACCTCTTGCCAAATTGCTACTATAATAGCTTTTTCTATCATTCACTATTAACTTGTATTGTTTTGTTTTGTTAAGTTACTATCTGTTGTAAAAAGGATAAAGAGGTTAAACAAGATGATTGATGGATTAGTTGAAGTGAACTATTCACATCGGAGATATGCAAAAATGCCATTCAAACTGATCAACGTGGGTTAGTCAATAGCCCATGAGTCCGAAGGCCGAATGGGCTACTGACTCAGAGGCCATGAGGGCGAGAGGAACAATTGTTTTAGTAAAATCCAACTAGTTGGTCAAAAATATCGAGAAAAAACAACTTTAGCTAGTTAAAGCTAGACTTAAATCCTTTTTTGCCGCCAAAAAACCGGCGCTTTTCGCTACTAGTGGGCTATAACATATAGCCTAGTAGTAGCTCAACCAATCACAGCGTAGCATTGATAATAGTCCACTAGTTGGATTTTACTAATAGGTAATATTTCTTTTGCATATCCTTGTGGAAGCTTTTGCTAACTGAGCGCCGTTTTATTTAACATAATAATTATTTAATGACTGATAATTGCTTTTTAAATAATTTCTTTGAAATAACATTCGGAGCAATTTTTTCCTCCGTTTATCTTTCGCCAGTATAATCAGAAGCAGCGCTTACAGAAAGGTTAACTTAGTACTAATTAATTCATAAAAAGCCAATGATGCATAACATTTATCACATAAAAAAAGTTAAGTTAAGTTTCTGTTAATTATCCGAAAACACTAAATTAGTTTATTACTCCGAAATGCTTTGTTAAGTGAGATACACATTTCAATGTAGTGTCATTTGAAGTGAACTATTCAGATCGGAGATATGCAAAAATGCAAATGAATATAGTAGGGATATCAATAAAATAATGAGAAAATTTTCTTACGTTTTACCCACACATGTGCAGGGTAGGCAAGATCATATCTGTTGGTGTAAGGTCGGATCAAATCTGTTCTCTTGCACCAGTAACAGTTCCAGTTGTACCTATGCCACAATTCAATCGCCTTGCATCCTGGTGTTTTGTCACATTGCGCAGCGCACTGGCTGAAGGTTTGTCGCACGCCATATTTTCCACTCAAAAACTGTCGCCCTCCAATTGTACACCAGCTGAAGGGATGTTTCTTCCATGATCCTAATTGATAATTGATTGTTGACAATGGGTCCCAGGTACAGTATTATGTATATAAGTACCCTTTTGAAAAATTTTGACTTGGTTACTATTATTAGTCCTTCTACATAATATTAGCATAATATTATTAACGGCTCGTGGTAGACAAAATTTCCCTGTTCTAGGTTCTCGCGTTTCCCACTCGTCTACACTAAATGCCAAGGAGACTGCATCAGGCAAGTTGTACAAAACCACGTTCGTGGAAAAGTATCGCAGTTAAAAAAGAGATTTACGAAATGATCTTTTTTTAACAAAGAGGAAAAAAATTTTACCATAATCCTCAGCGGGTAGGAGCATTTCATCTGCTTACTCCGCTCCGTCAATAACTGTAGAATCCTGATCGAAATCGTCTGCTCCTAACTGCTCGCCATTGATAAGATACTTCTTATCTGAAAAAAAAAAAGATTGAAAATCAGTAAAAAAAAAATTACATTTGTGGTGAATTTTTACGTCGGTTTTTATCTATTAATAATACTATCATTATTTTTTCTCGAGGGAAGGTTTATGTCAAGAAACATCGAGGCATTAGCGGCCATGCGCAACTCAACACTACTGCAACTAATAGTACTTACAAAGAGCGGTTAATCTCACAACGCACAAATTTTCCGCAAGAATGTAAGGTCTGATCCATTAGTATTTTGTATGACCATAGTCATAAGGAAGGTTCGCCTTAGGCTCTTTGCCCACGCCCCCAGCCTGTATTTATATATATGCAATAGAATAAAATTAAGTATAATTGACACACCTCACCTTTTGAATGGCATTTTTTACTACTTTTTAATTATATTTTTAACTGTAAGTTTGTAATAAGAGAATTTATTGTTCTGTGATTGCCGATGCGCTCAGGGGCTCCTTTCGGGGATTCTGTTATTCTTCTAAAGGGTTTTCCATTCATAGGCCTTTAGCTTGTACCTTATTACTTTTTGTTTAAGGTGTGCCTTCTAGGATTATGTTATGTTAATCCATTTGATTTGATTCAGAGGCCCCGATTGGGGAACCTGTTGTTCCGTTCGGCAATGACATAACTTTTACCACCTACCCTCATTAATTATTTTTTTACCGTGTCATCTTTAATTTTACCAATTGTGTATGTCTCGCTTTTATTTAACGTATTACGTAACCTTATTTTCACCCCGAATGTATAGCTATTTCAAATTGCGTATTTTTTTTTATCCAAGTTTTGATTTTTTTAAATACACTGAAGAAGCCCAAAGGGCGAAACGTCTCTATGAGGAAGTTTGTTCCAGATCTTTTTGTCATTCACGTTTATAAAGTTGAGGTCCCTCTGGATCCTTTCTCACAAGTGGTTAGCTTGGCATTTTTCATCGACTGTATATATATATATATACACCCGTTTTCAAAAAGGTTTTCATATAGAAAGATATATAGATAGATATATATACTCTTGTTTTCTTGCACGTGCGCCCGTGTTATTGTCCAACTTGTGAAAAAAAATTGGATATTGCGAGCGTTGTTGTTGGTAGTAACAAGTCTTTGGCCTCACTAAGTAGGTTCTAGGGTTGAAATCTATTCAGCGAGATGGAAATTGACGCTGATTTCTGACCAGGCCAAAGACTTGGTAAGAAATTGTTTCGAAAGCGGGGGCTGTATGTCTCCTTTTTCCAACCACTGGTTCATCCGGGATCTTGAATAAATCGACTATTAGTGAGTAGAGAAAAGTTCCATGTGACGATTTTTGTGGAGAAAGCGAGAATTTTACGGAGTAATACGCTCTTCTCACGTATGGTAATATGCCCGTCTAACCTCGTTTTTGAGTAAAACGTCCTTTGAAATGCTAATCAGACGACGTTTTCGTATTTGAATTTCAAAAGAATTTTTACCCGTAAACGAGGTTAGACGGGCATATTACCATAAGTTAGAGGAGCGTATTCGACTATGCTTCGCCCGTGTTAACTGTGGAAGTATACGTGAGTGGTTTTCGGAAGTGTTGTGATTGCCGCAAAGTCATTTATTGTGTGATTTACTGAAGGTGTTGACAGGTATGTGGTTGAGCTCGTGTTACCAGAAAACTTTGTGCCAAGCATAAAAACGCTTCGTGAGTGTTTAGTCTAGGTGATTTTGCCTTAGAGAGCTTAGTCTGTGCTCAAAGATTGTGGATCTTCGGCAGAGACTTAGCTATGGGCCTTATGGTTTGACTGACTAAAAAGTTATACCTCCCGAGGTTTCAAACTCGTTGTTTATTTAATCGCAAAATCCTGTTACTTCTGCGAGAAAAATTTACCATCTGCTGCCAGCAATAAAGCTGTGATTGTTGAGCCTTAGCTAGTGACTTTTCACTGTTTTCCATTCGACTTAGATGTCAAATTGTTAAAATGCACTTGAAATTTCTTAAGCCACGTGTTAGCCAATCTAGTCAGATATAAAAGAGAGCAAACGAGAGTGTTTATTTTTTCTCGTTTTGCCTAAACAGTGTTATTCATAGATGAGAAAAATATTTCTAACTTCCTTGAGATTAGGATACGAAATTTAATGAAACTTTATTTTATCTTTGCAAAAAAATCTATTTTAAAATTTCTTTGTTTGCAACTGACAAGACAAATCATTTTTACTCCGTGTTGTTTTGAATCTTATTGTTAACTCATTAATTATATACCACTCGAATGTTTTTTGTTATTTGTGAAAAATGCAGATCCAGTTAACAGGAGACCTTCCACAAAGGCAAGTATAAAAGGCAAACTTTGTTCATTTTCTAGCGACTTAAGTTTAATCAAAAAGGTAGTTAGTTGAGGATATTGTGTGTGCAGAATATAACAAGACTGTTATCGATTGTAAGCTTTGTTTCTTACTGAAAGCATAATGTAATTAGATACTAACCTGGTTCATCTTCTTCAACCGGCTTTCCATCGACAATATCGGTGGGATCTTGAAGATGAGTCAATGAGTAAACCAGTAAATTGCAACGTAATGAATGTGTTGTGGCCCACAGTATAAAGGGTAAACTTTGCTTAATTAATGAACAAGGTAAAAGGTAGAAAAACTTGGCCATCAGTGAGAAAAGCCCCTGGGGGGGCCGGGGGGGGGGGCAGTATTCCTGGTGGGGGTATCCCGCCCGGTTCTCCAATCCGACCAAAAAAATGTCATTTTCCACCTGGCCTCTAAGATCCATACTCGTTTTCAGACCTGGCATAGACAGAAATTGTGTTATCATTACTTAGAATGGAATGCCAACAAAAAGATTTCTTGGAATCCATTTCGAATCCCATATTGCTCTTTCTTTTTTATTCATTTGGAATTGGAATTTTAGACCAAAATGGGCAAAGTTTACATCCGTTTTCAAACCGAAACGGTGAAAAACCGTACCCTCTGGGGCGCCACATATCAGGGCAAATAAAAGGGAGTACTCCCCGGGGCAAAGCAGTATTCGGACCGTATAGTGAGGTACCCTGGCCCCACGGTTCGTTCTCGAAATGACTAGGATGAAGTAAACCGTGGTAATGTTTTTTTTTTGTTGTTCTCGGCGCGCACGGCACCCAGTATAGTTATGGATTTTTTTCTGTGCTAAATACAAAAAAATGTTTATCGATTATTGTCTCTTTTTTTCGTACTAATAGCACAATGTAATTAAATACCAACCTGGTGCATCTCGTTCAACGGGCTTTCCATCGACAATTTTCGTGGGATCTTGAAGAGAATAATAGACAGTGATTAAACAAGTAAATTGCGAGGTAATGCATGAGTTACGGCTCAGTGCAGTCTTGAAAAGACTTGCCTAGGGCGTTTTATTAGGTTGGTTTATCGTGCTTTACTTTAATCGTCAATAATAATTACAGTCTGTTGAGGTAAGATTAAACAAAGGAGTTTTTTTCCCGCGTTAACTAGCCTTAAAGGTCTAAGAGTTCCGCTTTCAGTTGAAAGTTTATGTGAGGCAATGCACGTCTAAGACATGAAGGACACCAAATCCTGATTGAAAACAACGGTATTCTGTTAAATCATTTCGCCTACGATGTGACAACTTATAATTAAGACTCAGATTTCTTTTTAATGACTTGTTTGATTCATACAAACTTTCCCACGATCAAGAATTGCACAGCAAAAAACTTTCTTTTCTGGTATGTTACGATGTGTAGTCGATCGCGCAATCAATAACAACTGGGAAATACAAGGAGCTTATGCGAAGGGTATACATGTATATGTAAGCTAAAAGTTAAAATTAAGGTAACCTGGTCATTTCGTTTTAGATAGACGTAAGAAAACAATCACACAAAAACTGACAGTTATCAAATGTCGGTATTATCGATATTTATTTATTAAGTCAAAATGTTAATAGGTTTCATACACCTTAGGTTTTGCCTTTCATCGTATTAGTCGTCTGCACTCTTTGTTAGTTTCTGTGACTATACTCTAAGTGGGATTCATGCGAGTGATCGTATACAGAATTCCTAAAAACGCGTTCATACCAAGCGCTGTATTCAAGCCAAGTGTTCTAATTTGGCTATGGCGTCTTTCTAAAGTGAAACTTCATGAAACCGAGATGGTACAAGTATACATGCAAAGCATAATTTTCTTTTGCGCGGAGCAACTTTCCAGTAACCACAAGGAGTGAGTTAGAGTAATGCATTATAGGAGGAGGCGTATCTCTTTACAAATGCCTTTCGCTTAAGGTCGGGTCCAAAGTGGTGGACAAATAGGCAACTTTGTGCTCAAAGTACTTTGAACGCTAAAAGGCAGACTGTTTAACTGACTGAAAAACATCTTTATTTGAAGCCTCTTGAAATTCACGAAATTCGCGTTTGTATATCATTGTGACTGATGCCATGCATATTTCGGCATCAATCCTAGGAGTATGCAGAATGTCTGTCATATGGAATCTTGTTTATTTGCTTTATCTCCCATGAGTCCCCCTTAGCTCAATAGTAGAGCATTTGGACTAACGATCAAAAGGACCTAGGTTTGATTACTGTTGGAGAACTTGCTTTTTCTTTTCGAGTCACCTGAGTCGCTGACTGAACAAACATAATTAATTTTGTTATTAATCAACAGGCTTAAAATCACCATCATTTTTATATTTTATTTCCCATATACTGTACCACCTATCCACACTCCAATCCTAGGCCGGTCTAAAGGACGTGTTTCACATCATTGAAGTGAAAACCTGGAAATTGAGCTTTTTTTTATTCAGAAGGAAGAGACTAAAAGCAAAAGAAAAACTGCAAAAACGTTTTTACCTTCATCGTTAAATCCCGCAGTTTCAAGATGAAAAACTCAAAAGTGAGCCATTTTTCTTATCAGGCTAAGGAAAGCAAAGAAGACAAAAAACTACAAAAAATTTTTTCACC